GACAGACTAAGAAATCTTACCTTTTAGGCAGATAGCTTTTCTCTCCCCCATGAGTACCATGTCTCTAAACAGAACACCCTCCTCTATACCACTTGCTGTTTTGCAGTTGAAAATGAACCTTCTTATATTAAATCACATTTGTTTACCTTATGAAGTGTTTTGTGCAAGTTTTAATTTCCCCATCTTACCCACAGTGAGGTTGAGACTTGGAAACACTAAATGACTTTCTCTCACCAGTATGACTATTAATTATAGGAGAAGCTGGGTGTGGTTTCTCAACTGTAACAAATATATCATACTAAGATAAGATGTTAATAATAGGGGAAGTTGGATGTGATATATATGGGAACTCTTTAATTAATTAGTGATTTGACCAATGTCCTAGAATGTTAAGTCAACACACAAATATCAATCATGTTTCATATTGGCAATGTACAAACAGAAAAGAAAATTTAAAAAGAAACATTATCTACAATGGCTCCAAAAAGAAAATATTTTGGTATAAATCTAACAAAATATGTATATGATTAGCAATGGTGGTAAAAATAAATCAAGGGAAACCCAAATAAATGGAAGCATATCCCATGCTTTTGGGTTGGAAAAGTGAACATAGTACATTGTAAGTTCTATCGAAATTCACCTACAGATGTGTGTCAGAGGTCCTTAACACACAATGATTTTCCAGAGGGACTCACAGGACTCAGCATACATTCACAGCTGATTTGTTATAACAAAAGAATAAAAAGCTAAAACAGCTAAGGGAACAGGAGGAACATGGGAAAAAGTCTAGAGAAACCCTAGAGTTCTACCCCAATAGAATCATTTCAGAATGAACTTAATTCCTCATTCTGTGAAAAGACATACGAAGCATTGTCTACCAGGAAAGCTAATCACTCAATGTCCAAGACATCACTGGGCACTGGTCGCATAAACACTCTGTCTAGCATGTTCCCAAATCTCAGACTCCTGGGAAGAAAGCAGGTTATCAGTATAAATCACATTGTTTGTTTGTACAAAGATTTCAGGCACAGTGAGTCACAGTGATCATTTAGCTGGAGTTTTATATCAAAGTCGGGAACTATTTACCAGCCAAGTATGGAGCTATCAGCCAATGGCCAACCTTGCAAACAGGCTTTTTTAAGGATAGCAGTAATGGGACCATTATATTAACTTTCATGAATAAGACATAATTCAATTCCAATCAAACTTCTAGCAAGATCTTTTGTAGATATAAATTGATCCTAAAATTTATGTAAAAAGGCAAAGGAACTAGAGTAACTAAAACGATTTTGAAAAAAAAAAAGAATACAGTTGGAAATATAACTTTACCCAGTTTTAAGACTATAGAAATAAAGACCAGGTGATATTGACAAGGGGTTAAATGCAGAGATCAATGAAACAAAATAAGAAAATAGACCCACCAAATTGATGCTGAATGACTAGTCAAGAAAGAATAGCAGCACCTTACGGCAGTAGTTGTCAGGCTTACCTGTACCTCCACCAACCAGTCCACAAGAATGGCTCTCATATCACTGCTGATCTCAACCTGCCAGCTCATATATTTTGTAAGTATGAACATTTTCTAGCAGCAATGAGAAAAAAATTAACATATAAACTCTTCTTGTAGTTCAAAATTGTAACTTAACAATTAACTTTTCCCTCATGGCTCTCTCTCATCATTTTCATTTGCTGTCTGATAGAAGCAGATCAAAGTATCCTTTATCCAGACCAGTTCCAGTTAGCCTTGGGAAACAGACACAAGTGATATTCAGGTGTCAAAGTGGATATTGAGGAGTCCAGTGGGCAGAAATATGCCTATGGCTAAAGGGGAATACCAAAATGGTTAAGCCCCTTCTTTGCAATTCAGTTTAAAGCACAATAATATGATATGTTGAATAGTTTTTTTCAATATTTAACATGCAAATACACCACATGGGGGATTTTATAAAACTTCAGATTCTGACTTAGAAGGCCTGGGGTAGGGAGAGGCTTTTGCACCTCTAACAAGATCACAAGTGAAACTAATACTATTTAATCCAAGGCTCATACTTAAATTGTCTCTTAAAGGTACAGAAGGTTCCTAATTTGACTTGGAATTCTGTGACTTAATGATGGTGCAAAAGTGATGCACATTTTGCAGACACTATACCTCAAATTTTCATCTTACACTAGGCTAGCAATTTGTGATGTGATATTCTTTTGTGATTCTGGGCAGCAGCAGCAAGTGCAGCTCCCAGTCACCCACGTGATCATGAAGGTAAACATCCAATTCTCTGCAGTGTACTGTGTTACTGAGCTATGATATGAATTAGGTGAAGTGTATTAGTGTATTTTTGATTTATAATATGTTTGACTTACGATGGGCACATCAGGATGTAACCCCATCATAAGTTGAGGGATATCTACAGATTAGAAAAGGCACCAGGGTGAGCATTTGACACAGAGGTTAAATTACTGCTCAGAATGTTCACATCCCACATCAGAATGCCTGCTTTGAGTAGTGGCCACTCTACTTCCGATCCATGGCTAGTACATGCCCTGTAAAGCAGCAGATGATGGCTCAAGTACTTGGGTCCCTGCTACCCACATGAGAGACTCAGACTAAGTTTGGGCTCCTGTATAGCCTGGTCCAGACCTAGCTGTTGTGGGCATGTAGGGAGTGAAGCAGTGGATAGAAGATATCTATCTCTCAATATCTCTTTTTCTGTCTTTCAAATAAAAATTAAAAATATTTTTAAAAGAAAAAGCATAGAATTTAAAGTCATGCAGTTAATCACTCTCCACAGAAAGAGATATTATTGCCTTGTTATACATGGGCTGCTAAACATTCTAGTTAGTAGACAAACTTGATCCTGTTTCATTGAGAAAGACAGAAGAAAATGTGGAATTGAATAATATTAGTGGTAAAAAAAAAAAAGAGAGAGACTGTCAGAATTCAAAGGAAAAAAAAAAAACTTCTCCACATTGGAACACTTAAACATGGGATGTGATTTTACATCCAGTGCCAGAAACATACATACAAAAGGAAAGTCTACAAGAGTAGTCACTCAAACACAGATGACCATTTTTGTGTCTGAAACAATCTCCTCAGCAATTAGACAGCAGGATTACAGTTTTCAGAGTGACAAGACTTTAGTTAATAGCCTAGCTTTACTGCATCATTTTCCCTGCCTGTAAAAGGGAGGTAATAATACCTACCATCATAAAGTTATTGGGAGAATTAAACAAGAATAATGTCCATAAATCTCTTAGCACAATGTATGACCCACAGTAAGCTACCAATGGATACTGGTTGTTGTTATTGTTATTTTCATCATTCCATTTCGACCTGTATGGTGAAAGATGGAATGATGAAGAAATGAGAACTAGAAATCATTGCACACCCATAGCTACCTACATACCTCTCTCTCCTTCATATAACTGAAGATATCCTTGGCATATGCTGAGTTGACATATGGATCATTGTAGTACCTGTTAATATCTTCCAGTTCATGATTCACCTTGGAAATCATCAGAAAGACATGTTAGGAAAAGAATCCAAGGAGGGCTTAGTACATACACATTGAACATGGATCTCTTCTCCCCATTGTCATATGTTACAATTCCTCAAGTCTCATATGTCCTAGGCCATATCAGACCATGCCCTGGCCCTGCAATTCCCATATCCAGTGACAATAAATGTCTAGTCTCCCTTGTATATATCCGTTATGCTCTATTAATAAAGCATCCTTTTTTCAGATAGGCTCAAAACTTCCAAAAAATAAGACATTCTTATTATATTTCAGCTGCATCACTTGTCTTCTTCGTCTCTTGGTTTTGGCCCAATTCATCCCCCTGAGAGTCTCTTCCTCCATTCCTCACTGAGGTTGATTTGTTGACAAGGACATTTTCAGGGCCAGCATTGTGGCGTAGCAGGCAAAGTATCTGCCTGCGATGCCAGCATCCCATATGGGCACCAGTTTGAGACCCAGCTACTCCACTTCCAATCCAGCTGCCTGCTAATGCACCTGGAAAACCAGGGAAAGATGGCCCAAGTGCTTGGGCCTCTGCACCCACGTGGGAAACCTGTCAAAAGCTCCTGGCTCCTGGATTTGGTCTGGCCCAACCCCAGCTGTTGCAGCCATTTCGGGAATGAACCAGCAGATCTAAGATATCTCTCTCACTCTCACTCTCTCTCCTCTCTCCATAATTCTGCATTTCAAATAAATAAAAAATAAATCTGAAAAAGGACATTTTCCTCCTGCTTGCTAAATCTCACCCATCACTCTTTTAATTTACAACTTAAATACCACCTGCCAGGAGGGATGCCCCAGTGAACTTTATCTTTGACTAAAGCCTACTATGTTGTAGACTGAAATGAATAAGATAATTTCCTGAATGAAATGGTCTAACCACTATTGCAAAGCTCAAGTATATAGCACAATATTCCATATTCTTGTATGTATTCTTGGAATAAAAAAAAGTTTCTGATTGCTTAGATCTATCACTATACCAATCAGGAAGTCAAGAGACTCTACAAGACCAACTTAACTTAAGAGAAAAACACCAAAAAGTCTGATAAATTTATTGCATATCATGGGGTAATCTTAGGCTGCAAAATGTGAGAAGATCATGTATCATTCAATAAAACTCAAAGCAGATCCAAGAAATGCTTGCTTGCTTTATACATGGACCTCCCACTACTTATACACAGTTCATTGCTTAGGAAGACAGAAAAAAAAATCTCTTTGCTAGCAGCCAACCCCAGGGCAACAAAAACACTTCAGCTAATTTAAGAAGAGATTAATACCTATACCTGTTCTCCCTTGCCATTAGGTGTGGAAAATTTGTTGCAAGAAAATTCGCATATACTGGAGTTGCTGTCAGAACTGGACTTGTGCACACCAAACGTGGTGGGAGTTCTGGGGGTCACCAATCTGGATCCAAGGGCAGTGCTGGACATGTCTGAGCTGGTATTAACTAGGGGGACCATTAAGAATGTCTTGAGAAAGGTAGCTCCTTTGGGGAAAGAATTTTCTCCCAAAGCCATTGTTTCTTCAAAGAACAACCCCTTCCCAGTGGTGGGGTTATTATTCAAGATCAATACTTCCTTGAGAACGAATGGCCCATTGATGACAGTCTTTGCCTCTGAGGCTAATGCTTCTTTGATTATGGGCTTCTTCTTCTTAGGGCTTGATTTCTTCTGAAAGGCCCAGTGCTCATTCAGGTTAATCCCCCTGACTCTTGCCCTGTCCTGTAATATTACGGGTCCCTGAGAGTAGCACTCCTCATCAAATGTAAGAGTCTTCTTACAGGACAAGCACTGCTTGTTCAGAGTCCCCTTTTCAGGGCTGGGCTTCTCCTGTGAAGCACAGGGCTCCCTCAGCTTAGTGTCATTGGTTCTTGCCATCTCACGAAATATTAAGGGCACCTCAGAGAGGCTATCCTTTTCAAGGGACAGCTTTTTCTGACAGGACAGCTGCTGCTTGCATGGAGCCTCCTCTTTCCTGGGGCTGGGCTGCTTCTGCAGGATGATCCCCTTCATTCTTGCCCTCTCCTGAAATATTACAGGCCCCTGAGAGTAGCACTCCTCATCAAATGTGAGACTCCTCTTAAAAGAAAACCGCTGCTGGCACAGAGTCCCCTTCTTGGAGTGGGACTTCTCCTGCAAGGCCAGTGGCTGCTTAGTAAAAGGCTCCTCATCCTTGGTGATATTCTTCCGCAGAGCCAACTGCTTTTGCAAGAGGCCTCTCTTTCCCTGAGCAGTGGGTTCCTTCTCTGAAGATAATTGGCTCTCTCTGCTTGTTGCTGCCTCAGTGGAGGACTGGTTCAAACGCAACTTCTTACTGCCAAGGGACGCCCTTTCAGTGATGCTTTTGTCTTTCAAGGCCAACAGCTCATTGAAAGAGTCCTCTTTGGAATCAGGCTTTGCTAGCAAGACCAAAGACACCTGGGAGGGGGACTTAGCAATGTCATGTGTCACAGCAGGTGAAAAGAGCTCTGGAGAGAAAAATATCTCGTCACCTGTAGGCTTTGCCTTCGAGGTCAGGGATCTCTTAATAGGTGATCGTTTTTCCATGGTGCTCTTCTTCTTTGAGAAGGACACCTCCTGAGGAGCAGTGCGCTTCTCTGTCAGTGCTGATGGGTCCTTCAAAAGGACCTCCCCTGCATTGATAGGCTGCTTCTTAGAGGACAGCAGCTTCTTATTCACTGAGTCCTCTTGAAAGGTGTTCTTCTGCAAGACCAGGGGCTTCTGTAAGGGGGTCACCGGTCTCTTAGTGACTTGCTCCTTATTTGAGAACAATGGTATCTTGGGGAGGATTTTCTCCTCAGTTGCAGGGCAGCCCTTCTGCAATACTGGTGACATAGAAGGGAACACGGCCCATCCAATGGCCCGCTTCTTTGGAAATATAGTGCTGGACCAGGGTGCCTCTTCAATGGCACGCTTCTTCTTAAGAGCCAAAGTCTCCCTAGAAAGCGACTTCTCCTCACTGGCATGCTTCTCTTGCAGTGCAGATGGCTCCTGGCAAAGGGACTCCTTCTCCATGGCAGGCTTTCTATTAAAGGACAATGGCTCCTTAGTGAGTGGCTTGTCTTTAGAGCTGACCCACTGCAATGCCAGGGGCTTCATGTGGGAACTCTTCCTTTGAGGAGTACACATATTTAAAGCTAAGGGCTTCGTGGTTGGCTTTTCAGTTTTAAGTCTCTTCTTATTCTTCAAAAACCACACACCGAAGGGATTGTCATCATCACTGCTATCGTCAGTGGAAAGGAAATCTTTCAAGCTGAACTTATATTCCTTACGTGCACTTGTCTTCTGCTCGGAGGGCAATGTCTTCTTGGTGGTGGCTTCCTCCATTTTACTTCTCTTTTTAACTGCCACTGATTCTAGGAAAAAGTCATTGTCACTGTCATTTTCTTTCTGAAAAGCAAGTGTCTTCTTCGGTAAGGACATCTCACACCTCATAAATCGCCTCCTTAAAGATGATAATTTCCTGACGATGGTTATATGGTCACAACTTTCTTCATCTTCTGAAACTTGCGGTTTTTTGAGGGCGGATGCCTCCTCGGTAGTCAGTGCTTTAGAGACGGTAGATTTCTCCACAGGGGGCAGTTTCTCCTTATTTAGTACCAGTGTGGAAGAGGCTACTACTGGTTTTGGCTTATATCTGTTAAAGAAAATAATGCCTTGGTAAGAAAAACATAGTTCCAAGGGTACTCATCTACCATACCTTCTTTGTTGCTATATTTATCAAAGCTATGTAAGGGAAAAAGGCTTTCACTTCAAGAGACAGATTACAAGGTAAAATATCAATGAATAGGAACCTTGATAAATCAAGTAACTACCATACTATAGAGTTTCTATGCCTAGGTCACTACATGTTTTCTCCTGAAATCCATATTATGCTTTCATATATGATCTGGCTTTTATTATTATACCTATCACAGGGAGATAGTAATGTCTCCATGGTCATGAGGGACAAACCTCCCTTAAATCTTCTAACGGGAGAAGCAGACTGATAAGCTATCAGCCAGCTCCTGAGAGTCCCAGAAAAGTTAAGTTGTCTCCAGACCTACTCAAACAGTGACTGAATTACTAAAAGAGAGAAAGCTAAGGTCTTTTGATAAATTGCTCGATGAGAACAGCTCTTTGAATATGTGCACACACACTATGAAAAAGAGAAAAAGTTTGTAACTCTGCAGCATCCACAGCTGTGCCTACTTCAGAACTCAGGGTTAATATAGTAGTTACCAATGTGACTCATGAAATATAGTCTCAACAAGGACAGAAGGGGATCAAAAGGATGACACACACTCGCCTTTATCATCTAAAACAATGTCAGCTGAGCGTCCTCCTGTAGTGGAATGAGAAGGCCATGCCAAGATGGCCACTGGCAACAGGCTGTGATTGGATGGCTTCGGAAACCACATGACAACAGAGCCTGCCTGGCAACAGGCTGTGATTGGATGGCTTCAGAAACTGCCTGGCAACAGGCTCTGATTGGTTAGGGCATAGACCGCCCCTTGACCAGATTGGCTGCCTTGGCTATTTAAGCTGCTGTACCAACTGAAATAAACTAGTCTGCAGGCTGCTTGCCTCTGGCCTGCTTTTATCCGGCTCCCGGGGTCTGTGTGGTGACTCTGTGCCTCTTGCCCCCACCACACTCCTCTCAGAACAAATCCACCTCAACATCCTCGTACTCACCTGTCAGAATTCATCTTGCTGGTTTTGGTCAAGCTTAGAGCTATATTCCCCTTTGTCTTCTTGGAAACATCTTTTACAAACTCATTATCTCCCTTCTTGGGCTGGGCAGGTTGAATTTGACAAGCCTATGGAAAATAAGGGAGAAGGAGGCAGTCAAATGAAGAGAACAAATGTTCCAGTAGATGGCTCTTACAGGTCCTGACCCACATCCCCATCTTCTTTGGGTGTTCACAGGAGTGAGAATCTAAATATCTCATAACCAGTACAGCACTGGGTCAACCAACCACAGTAGAAGCTAGCAGCAAACAAGTCCTATAGTAGCACAGTACATACGGGCCAAGTAGCAGCCTTAAGTGCTTCCAAGGAATACAGAATGCCGTTCTGATCTCCATGCTGGGCATACTGGCTAGCTTTCTTAACGTAACATTCCACTCCTTTTAAAGATGTACAGAGGGGATAATGGTGGTATGACTGGCTTTGTCACCTGAGCATGCTAAAAGCAACTAGTTTTTCAGAGTAGATTTCTAACACAATGCTATCTGTGATACAAGTGTCCCATGTCATTGAGTTATGGTATTTAATTAATGTTGGGCTCTGGGGAGTTCCACAACAGACTCTAATCATGACTGCCTTTATTAAATAGTAGGAGAGACCCCGGGACTGTGAATAATGTCAGTAAAAACAAATTTAAGTTATACTTTTCAAATGAAACATGAATCTATTTACATTTCAACTAAGTATCATGTCCACATTAAAGGGAAAAGAGGGAAACTAAAGAAAACAAGAAATAACCAATCCATATAACTTATAATATATAACTATATACTCTGATATATACATTCTTTTTTTTTTTTTTTGACAGGCAGAGTGGACAGTGAGAGAGAGAGACAGAGAGAAAGGTCTTCCTTTGCCGTTGGTTCACCCTCCAATGGCCGCCGCGGCCGGCGCGCTGCGGCCGGCGCACCGCGCTGATCCGATGGCAGGAGCCAGGAGCCAGGTGCTTTTCCTGGTCTCCCATGGGGTGCAGGGCCCAAGCACCTGGGCCATCCTCCACTGCACTCCCTGGCCACAGCAGAGGGCTGGCCTGGAAGAGGGGCAACCGGGACAGAATCCGGCGCCCCGACCGGGACTAGAACCCGGTGTGCCGGCGCCGCTAGGCGGAGGATTAGCCTAGTGAGCCGCGGCACCGGCCCTGATATATACATTCTTGATCAGGATAGGTTTGTGGGAGGTAGAGACTACAAATAAATCTGGAACTCTTTTTAGTAGATTTGTTACAATAGTACAGCTGGAAGTAACTTTGAAACTATTTTAGAAGTATTACAGTACTGAGAAAATGTGTCCATGTTCTTGAGAACCAGGGTTCTCATTGCAGAAAAAGGAACATACAGAGATAGATAGACAGACAGACAGGGGAATGCAAGAAAGAAACTTGTTATGGAAAGTGGAGCTTTGTAAATCCATGATTTCTTAAACAGTATGTGTTTGTGTGTGTGTGTATTTTTGTCTGTATATGTGAATACAGATGTGTTTATGTGTATATGTACAAGTGTGGGAAACAGATTTTCCTAGCTCTCTCTGCTGAAAGGGCAGAAAAGGCAGACACTAGTAGCACAGCTACCACTGAGATCTTGATATATAATACTGTTCCCCATTAAAAGGAATCAGAACTCTTTGGAGAAATGGTTGACTCCAGTGCCAGGACAAAGTAGCTATGACATTGAACAGGAACATCTTTTTGTGCTGGAAAGAAAATGCTCAAAAAAAATTATAAGAGCATCCCATATTGAAGTGACTCCTACTGACCATATCTGAGACATTTCAAGTACCAAAATAAAGTACAATAAAAACAATAAACCACTGAAAAAAATAGCAATGCATGAGTCCATATCAATAATAAACAAACAGGGGAGAAGGAAAAGCTCAGGCTTGTAGAATGCCAAGGGAAGACTGCTAAGTGGGGAAGTTCTGGAGTTGGAAAAATCATAATAAAGATAGATTTAGACAAAAAATCAATGGATGCTAAATCTAGGGAACATTTTTGATGAACAGCAAGTTATTTACAGGCTCTTAAGAGTATGTCCTAGTGGCCAGTGTTGTGGACTAGTGGGTAAAGCTGCCGCCTGTATCCTATATGAGTGTCGGTGTGTGTCCTAGCTGCTCCACTTCTGATCCAGATCCCTGATGAGGGCCTGGGAAAAGCAGCAAAGGATGGCCCAAGTGTTTGGGGCCCTGACACCCACATGGGAGATTCAGATGAAGCTCTGAGCTCCCAGCTTTGACCTGGCCCAGCCATGCCCACTGCAGCCATTTGGGGAGTGAACCAACAGATGGAAGATCCCTGACTCTCTGTCTCTTCCTCTATGTAATTCTGACTTTCAAATAAATAAATAAATTTTTATAAAGAGTATGTCCTACAGACTGCTTATGAGTTTTAAGAGTAAAAATAGAGGAACTATATAGTAGAGAAACCAGGTCACATTTTGACCAGGTGATCAAAATTAACATCAACAGTGAGGGACAGATAAACATGTGCTCCCAGAGATGATACATTGAGAAGGACTGAGCATCACCTACACCTATACTAGTATTCCAGTTCACAATCTATAATATTGATCCAATTACAAGGAAACATCACCTAGACACACAAAGAGGACCGTTAAAGGGCAGTTGAGGAGAAGGCATTTGGATGCCTGCAACCCATATGAGAGTTCTTGGGTTCAAGTCCCAGCTCCAATTTTGATTCTAGCTTCCTGCTAATGTGCACCTTGGGAAGCAGCAGGTGATGGCTCAAGTACTTGGGTTCCTGCCACCCTCATTGAAGAGCCAGATTTTGTTCTGGGCCTCTAGCTTCAGCATGGCCCAGCTTCAGCTGTTGTCAGCATTTGGGGAGTGAACCAGCTCTCTCCCCCACCTCCTTTCAAATAAACAAAAAGTTAATAATTTAAAATACTTGAAGGGATTTGGGTGGGACTCCATCACTCAAAAATAACAATGTTATGAAAATTTAAAAAAAAAACATACAAAGTTAGGGCCAGTATTGTGGCATAACAAGTAAAGCTGCCATCTGCAATGCCAGCATTCCATATGGGTGCACATCTGTGTCCTGGCTGCTCCACTTCCAATCCAGCTCCCTGCTAATGGCTTGGGTAAAGCAGCAGAAGATGGCCCAAGTCCTTGGGCCCCTGCTACCCATGTGAGAGGCCTGGAAGAAGCTCCTGACTCCTGACTTTAGCCTGGCCTAATCCTGTCTGGTGCAGCCACCTGGGGAGTGAACCAGCAGATGGAAGATATTTCTCTCTCTCCCTCTCCTTCACCCTCTCCCAATCCTGTGTGTGTGTGTGTAACTCTGTCTTTCAAGTAAATAGAATAAATATTTAGGGGGCTGGCAGTGTGGTGTAGCTGGTAAAGCCACCATCTGCAGTGCTGGCATCCCATATGGGCACTGGTTTGAGTCCCAGCTGTTCCACTTCTGATCTGGCTCTCTGCTATGGCCTGGGACAGCAGTAGAAAGTGGCCCAAGTCCTTGGGCCCCTGCACCCATGTGGGAGGCCTGGAGGAAGCTCCTGGCTCCTGGCTTCGGATCACCGCAGCTCCAGCCATTGCAGCCAGTGGGGGAGTGAACCAGCAGATTAAGGCTTCTCTCTCTCTGCCTCTCCTTCTCTCTGTGTAACTCTTTCAAATAAATAAATAAATCTCAATAAATAAATAAATAAATAAATATTTTAAAAAATGCTGTGAATTCCCTACTTGGTATAGGGTTAATCTTATGAGTATAAAAATTAACTGAAAATTGATTTCTGTAAAAAATAAGAATGAGAAAGAAAGAGGAAAGAGGAAGAAAGGCAGGAGTATGGGAGGGAGGGAGGTGGGGGGAAGAAGCACCATCTTCCCAATTGTGTATATATTAAATGCATGAAGTTGTATTCCTTAAACAAAATAAATTTTAAAAAAATACAAAAATACAAAGGCTATGGAAATGTTCCAGGCTAAGAGGCTAAAAAGATAAGGCAAGTAAATGGCCAGAGTGAGATTAGAGTCATTTACTGGAGGGGAAAAATCATTTAAAGAGTATTATGACGTCAAATGAGAACACTGGAAAATGGCTAATCACATAAAAGTGTTTCATCAGTATAAATCTATAGCTGGAAACTGTACTGTGGTTATATGAGACAATTTCCTTATTCTTTGGAAAGACACACTGAAGTACTCAGGGGAACTAAAAGCCATGGTATATGTAAGCAAATGATAAAGCAAATATAGTAAAAGTTATAAGGGCATTCTTTATTTTTGCAATGCTTTGCAAATTTGAAGTGATTTCCAAATGAAATGTGGAACAAAAAGTATGTCTCTGTATCATCAGATCATAACAAGCAAGTGTAACTTAATAGGTAATTATTTCTTGGGACCTCAAATCATCTACCTCTACTCTTCAAAGAGCTTGGCACCACTTTCATTTTAGTTTTACAAACTCACTGTATATGCAATCAAGATTCAGAATGGGAAAACCGGTGCATTTCTGGACAAAAGAGAGGTAGAGATCCTAACCTCCAAAGTTAACCTCTCTGCTTGCCATATATGCAGTTTCAACGCACTGATACTTTCAGATCTAAGCTCAAGGGACAATTATGCATTTTTCTCCAGAATTCTTTCACCACAAAATAGAATAGAGGTGAAAATCTGAACATGAAACTATGTAGGTAAACAGGGATGTAGGCCCTATCTCCTTATCTTAGCATCTGCTTTGTCATAACAAATGCCCTTCCCATTCCACAAATGATAAAAGGAAGGGTGAAAAATTCATAGAAGATCAGCTTATTAAAACATATCAACTCTTTTTAACAAGCCAGGATCTCACTGTCACAAATGTTGAAAAGCCAAAGATGGGGACACAGAGACCTAGTAATACTAACAGGAAGAAGCAAATCATCATATAAGGAATCCCCAAAATTCAGAGCGAAAGGAGCCCCTCAACCCTCAATCAGATGAGCTCAGACATCTGTATAACCTAGACCCTGGGAATGGTTTAGGTATATTGCAATTATGTAACCTTTCCTGGAACACACCAAAGAACATTCAAGGCAACCAAAGTCAATCTGCAGAATTTGAATGCAGAAGAGAAATGGGCTTTCTGAGCAGCTGGAAAGCTAGAGGCAGAAATACTACTCAGGGATGCCTTGCACCCTGCCCCATACTGTCAATAAGGATGTGGCCAATAGTTTGTTTGAAGAACCAAGAAGGTTATATATACCGGCACAGATTTCCTAGGATTGAAATAGTTTATTTGTGTCTGTTCTTTCTTAATGGTGAAAAAAAAAAACACTCATGAAAGAAAGGACTGAAACATAGTAAGAAAGTTTCTCATATGCTGTGGAGCCTTATTACTGTGGTCTGAATATTTGTGTCTGCCCAAAATTCATGTCAAAATCTAATCCTCAATGTGACTGTATTAAGAGATGGGTTCTGCTGGGAGGTGATTAAGTCATAAGGAGTAGAGATTGTAGAAATGGGATTAGTGCACTTATAAAAGAGGTCAAAGGGAGCTTGATTTCCCCTTTCACCATGTAAAAACACAGCTAGAAGATACCATTTATGAGGAATGGGCCCTCTGTAGATACCAGCACCTTGATCTTGGATTTCCAGCAATACATTTCTGCCATTTATAACCTTACCTAGTCTGTTTTGCTACAGCATCCCCAACAGACTAAAACACCTTTGAAAAGTGTCACTGTACTCCCCTCAGGGACTCTGAGGGCCAATGGAGTTACACTAAGACTAGCTGTAGAGCTCATGATTTGTGTGGTTACCTTATTTCAACCAAGCTCTTAGACCCATGGCTCAGTAAATCAGGAAGTAAATCTAATCTTAGTGGGGTGTGTATAGGAGGGAGTTCTTTTTACCAATTATTAGTAAGTCTAACATTATGCAGAAAGCCGTAAGTTAACCACATACATTTTAATTTGCATCAGAATGTGAATGCATTAGAAGGATGATCATACATCATTTTCACAACAGGAATCCAAAGGAGAGAATTTTGCCAATTCTTATCCAATTCTTCCCAAGACAGTACAACATTATCTAGCAGATACAGGCTTTCTGGTAGCCACAGAAACACACTAGTCTATTGGGCAGGAATTGTTCACCAGGTTTCTCTGCAGCCTGGATGAAATAAGACTTCAAAACCAACATTGTCCTCATCTGTAAAATACAGATGATTGCAGTATCTGCCTAATAAGGTTACATGAAAATAACCTGAGTTTATACCTTAAAAAGTGCTTAGAATAGTACCTAACACATGGTAAGTACTCAGTATTCTTTAGTTATTATTTTCTAAGACCAGCAGTTACCTTCAGCCTGATTTTATACTCTATTAGCAAATTCTCTTACTTTTTTTTACTTACTTTTTATGTTTGCTGGTCCTTTAATAATACCATAAGGGAGGTGACTTAGAGGCAAACTCAAAAAGTCTAGTCAAGATTGAGTATCCAGCTCTTCATAGTTGAATATTGGATCACAGAACTACAGTTCTCAATGGTTCTGCACATAAGTTTTTTTTTTATTGTCACTGTGACTGAACTGATGCTAGTTGAAATTAGTCCTACGCAACAGAAAAATTGTGCTGCCCAAAATGCCCATGGTGCTTAAACTGATAAACACTGCCCTAGTCTACTATGATTCTACAAAGTACTTGTTTCTAAGACATAGGCAGCCAGCTGAGCCACATCTGGACTTTATCTCAATGCCATATCCCTTATCTATAATTTCATATCTGTTATTCACTCTGTCTACTACTTCCAGAGAACTCTACCAATTGACCCAGATGGTGTGTGCCAGTAGAAGAGCCCCTGGAATTTCTGAAGTTGAGTCACTCATTCCAAATAAAATCTGCTCTCAGTATTTCTGAGAGGCTCAGGGGGTATGGTAAACTGGAAAGGTTCCCCAAAGAAGAAGCTATCTAACCCTTATGCAAAATGACAGAAGAAGATTGGACTGGCATACTCACATTGGTGAGATCTTCAAAAGCTGATCTCATTGTGAATAGTCCCTGCAGTGAAGAACAAGATGTCTCCGCTCTCTGAAAAAGTAAAAAGAGGTTAATGAATATATCCAATTGTGAACATTCTCTTCATGAACTATGGGTCTTATTCAGGGTTCTGGGGAAACTTCAGAATTGAATCTCCAGATAACTTAAGATACATATAATAAACCCCAATTTACTATAATAAGGAAATTTTGACACTCAGAGCCACTTAGAGAGTCTCTGAGGAAGGTACTCACTGATGACAGGGACAAGGCTTTTAAGAGAGAAGATGACCTTCAGTTTAACTCTCAGAATGAGAAAATTTTGGTGAAGCTAATTTTTCTTCTTTCTCCTTTCATGCTTAGGGTTATCCTATCTAAGATAGGATATCTAACATAGGGATCTCTTATGTTAAAGTAGCAGATTTAAGACATTTCTAAGAGGGACAGTAGCATGCATACCTCGATAGTGTCTTCCAGGATCAGCTCTTTACTACCTCTTTTTTTTTAAAGATTTATTTTATTTATTTGAAAGACACAGTTACAGAGAGAGGTAGAGACACAGAGAGAGAGAGGTCTTCCATCCTCTGGTTCACTAACCAGATGGCCACAATGGCCGGAGCTGCACTGATCCAAAGCCAGGAGCCAGGAGCTCCCACACAGGTACAGGAGCCCAATCACTTAGGCCATCTTCTACTGCTTTCCCAGGCCATAGCAGAGAGCTGGATCAGAAGAGGAGCAGCTGGGACTAGAACTGGCACCCATATGGGATGCCAGCACTTCAGGCCAGGGCTTTAACCTGCTGTGCCATGGCGCCAGCCCCTTTACTACCTCTTGACCTTGGACAAGTCACTTAATCTCTGAGCTTCAGCTGGAATGACACCTACCTCACAGAGCCTTTGAGGATTAAATGATAGAATGCATGCTTTTTTAAAGTGCATAAACTATAAATGGAGAGAAATAGTACTTAAAAGTATGTAGTTTGATATGATTATAAACCTCTCAAGGGAAATTTTGTATTTTAACAAAGGAGTTTGGTAATCCAGAGTAACCTTCAATTGCTAGCGTATATACAAGAAGGATGGGAGAAAGGAGGAAAGGGGAATACTTTGATGCAGAGGAGGTTTGCTTTCTAGGTACTGTGGATATATGCACGCCTTACTCAAGTCCCAAGTGAGTAGGGTTATCAGGAGTTAGAGGTTAGGGAAAATGATGCTGTAGTGCTCCTCTATCCCCAACAGCTTTTATTTGGTGAAAGTCTCCTAAGTCTCTGATTTTCCTTACAAAATTCTGAGAATAAATCTTGCTTTTTACCAACGTCAGAGAGCTGTAATAATGTGAAGCAGAACTCTGGGATCACACCATTTGCTTTATTTTCCAGTTCCTCAATTAACAGTTGGTACACGGCACAGTAAGTAATCAGAAGTTTAGAAAATGGATTCATGATAACAATAGTTCAATCCAATTCAACAGAGTACCTGGTAGGGCTGAGAAGAATTCCTTCCATTTTCTAATTGATTAAGCTAACAAGTAAGTAAACGATTAGTCTCTTGTCTAGTTCATGAAAAATAATCCTAGTATGAATAATTATCAAAAAGTAAAATATTATTTTCTCATCAAGTAGCCACGAAATGAACTGTAGTCTATTATCCAATTCCTATTTAATACTACAGGTAGAAATAATCAGCCTAATGTAAAACCAGCAACTGAAACGGAACTCAATAAAACCTAGGCTTGCAAAATATGCTCCAGGAAAGTTGGATTTGGAAACATAATTGACACAAAAGAAAACTGCAGGGGCAGAACTCTAGTCAGAAAATTAAATATGGGGCCGGCGCCGTGGCTCACTAGGCTAATCCTCCACCTAGCGGCGCCGGCACACCGGGTTCTAGTCCCGGTCGGGGCGCCGGATTCTGTCCCGGTTGCCCCTCTTCCAGGCCAGCCCTCTGCTGTGGCCAGGGAGTGCAGTGGAGGATGGCCCAGGTGCTTGGGCCCTGCACCCCATGGGAGACCAGGAAAAGCACCTGGCTCCTGGCTCCTGCCATCGGATCAGCGCGGTGCGCCGGCCGCAGCGCACCGGCCGCAGCGCGCCGGCCGCGGCGGCCATTGGAGGGTGAACCAATGACAAAGGAAGACCTTTCTCTCTGTCTCTCTCTCTCACTGTCCACTCTGCCTGTCACAAAAAAAAAAAAAATAAATATGAACAGAAACCAGATCAATATATCAAATATTTCCTAAAAAATTTACATGGGAAAAATTTGGCTCTTCCATGAAAATCATTTTAGTAAAACAAGAAGGAAAATTATTAGAAAATGTGTATAGGGGCCGGTGCCATGGTGTAGTGGGTAAAGTTGTTGCCTGCAGCGCCGGCATCCCATATGGGCGGCAGTTCGAGTCCTGGCTGCTCCACTTCCTATCCAGCTCTCTGCTTTGGCTGGGAAAACAGTGGAAGGTGGTCCAAGTGCTTGGGCCCCTGTAACCGCATGGGAGACCTGGAAGAAGCTTCAAGTTCCTGGCTTTGGATTGGCACAGCTCCCAGCCATTGCGGCGATTCAGCGAATGAACTAGCAGATGGAAGATTTTGCCTTTCAAATAAATAAATCTTTAAAAAATCAATGATAATACATTTGCTAGCATAATCTTCATACTCTTCCCAGAATGCACTAGACAGCCTCTGGCAAGCCTTCTTAGCTTCTCAAGCAAAATAAGAATATAGATGTGATCATTAACGAGGGTTCAGTATCGTTTGGCTTTGAAACTTATAGAGAGTGGCCTTCAATCAGCCCATGCATTTATGGGAAAGAAGACTTCACACTTTGAAACTTCTCATTTTCTGGTATTCTCCAACTTTAAGGACTGCCACCTCTCCTCATTTTATCAAATTAAATCGAATATACTCTGAACGATTCAGGAGCGAGGATAGATACAGAGCCAACAGAAAAGATTACTTGTGACACTTAGGAAAGACAGCTTGCACTAACCTTTTCATGATGGCCACGATCCCTGAATGGAATTTTACGGTACTGAGGTCTCTTAATGTTAGGTTTGAAGACTGGAGGTGATTTTGGCAATGACATCTCTTACAGATTTAGCTATGCGTTATCCAAGACAGGGCTGCAATCAGAAAGGGACATTTTTAAAACATCATTCACCAAAAGCATCACGGAATTATCTTCAGATTCTTGAGAAAACCCACTATCTCTATAGTAATCCCAGAGGAAAACCAGACATTGAAGTTAGGCAGATATAAGTTCAAATCTTGGTTCTATCACAATCAACCATGGGCAAGTGACTTCAATGTGAAATGGAGATAAGTATACACACAGTATCAGAGTGTTATTCAAATTAAATGAGACATTCCATGTAAAAAGCCCAGCACAATGCCTTGCCATCCTCTGGAGCCACTAGGACTATGGCCTAGCCCCCAGTTTAGACTTCAGAATACTGGAGATAAATTCCATGAAAGTTTTGCAATGTAAACAGTGAAGAACATGGCAGCTTATATAGTCCAGAGGATTGCTGGTAAAGTCAGTTTTCTTGAAAAGACATGAGGTCCCAGCCACAACAATTATAACAATCCTACAGAAAAGATATAATTATTGCATGCCCTGCACACGTGTGTGCATGCACGCATGCACATATGCACACATGACAGTCTGAGTAAGCATTTTTAAGCTTCATTCAGTCAGATGAGACTGTAATCCAGTTCCAGATGCCTGGTAGGAAAGAAAATTCAAAAGATAACATGGGGCCAGCATTGTGGCACAGTGGGTTAAGCTGCCACCTGCAATGCAGGCATCCCATAGCAGAGTGCAGGTTTGAGTCCTGTCTGCTCCACTTCTAATCCAGCTTTCTGCTAATATACCTGGGAAGGCAGCAGGAGATGGTCCAAATACTTGTGTCTCTGACACACATATGGGAGACCCAGATAGAGTTCCAGGTTCCTGGCTCTGGTCTGGCCCAGTCCCAGGCATTGCAGCCATTTGGGGAGTGAATCAGTAGATGGAAGATTGATATCTCTCTAACTCTGCATTATAATTGATTGATTGATCAATTGATTGATTTTTGCAAAAGAGATGAGCTGGGGCCGGTGTTTTGCCATATTGGGTAAAGCCACCGCCTACAATGCCAGCATCCCATATGGGCACCAGTGTATGTCCTGGCTGCCTCACTTCTGATCTGGCTCCCTATTAATGGCCTGGCAAAGCTGATTTGGGTTTTGCTTTGGACAAAGAAGTATTAAACATTTTTTTAAGTAAAGAAAGGCCAGTGCAACTACATGCCTTCACATTTATTATCTCAGTTGATTCTTACAATGAAACTCAGGCGGTAAGCAATGCAGGTACAATTCACTTCATTTTACAGTACCAGCTTAGTTAAGTTACTTACTACCTGGGATAAACTAACCATCAAGCAGCCGGATCACCTTTTCTAGGACTCCTAAAATACCATTAAGTTTCTCAGATCACATGGAAAAGCATTCCAAAAAAGTGAAAGGAGGTCAAATGAACACAGGTTTTGGACTATGAGCAACTGGGCTTCTAAACCAGTTCTCTTAACATCTCTGCGCCTCAGTTTCCTCATCTGCAAAACAGCTATAACCACAATGACTTACACAAGAGTCAGGTGGCTCAATGTTAACTTGGATATACAAAGCCTGGAGCATGGTAGGCAATAAATGGTAAGTCTTACTTGCCTTCTTATTCTTCAAATCCAAACCTATTTTCTCTCTCATCCTTCAAAACTCAGCCAAGCAGCAATAAAACTAAATTGAGTGCACCCACTCAACTTCACCACGTGAAAACCACTTACTCCCCTTTTATTATTTATGCTTCCTACAATCCCTTATAGATATCCAAAGACTCACGCTCTGAAACCTTTACGTTTCAAAGGGAAAGAACATTGAACAGGCTAGGAACTTTAGCTGACAGCATTACAGGTTAACTAAACCTCCGAGAATGTAAGATTAGGCAGATGATAGTTATATACAACATTCATTATCCTAAACACTCATCACTTGCTTTGGAGGACCCACACTTAGGAAAACTAATTCTGTTGCCTCTGGGAATAGAGATGGGAGGGGACTGACACCACCAAAAGCAGCCTTAAAAGGACACACTCCACAGAACATTCATGTTCTACCTCCTACAGAACCCTGAACTTTAATTGGACAAGAAAATTAGGAAGCCTTTGCCTTTTCAGATTCTCCACCTCCCCTACACACACACTAAATGTTGGAGACACCAGTGGACATCCCAGCGCTGGTGCTGAAACCCACACAGGGGCAGCAGAGTTGATTATCAAAACAGCCTCTAGGAAGGAGTAGCTATTTTATATATAAAAAAGCAGGTTGCAGACAAAAAGGAACAGGGAGAGAATGCCAAATGGTATCAATGAAAGCAGCACTGGGCAGGGAATGATGCCTTGGGGTCTAGTTCTGGCCCTGCCACAAGCTGGCTGGGTGACACAGGGCAGCCTGTGCCTTGGTTTCTTTACCTAATAAAATGAGGCAATGGGCACAGAGTCTTCTCAATATTCAATATGAGGCCAAAGGACAAGCAACATTAGCATCACCTGGGAGCTTGTGAGCAATTTAAAAACTCCGGCCCCAAGCTAGGCCTACCAAATTGGAATCTGCAAATTAACAACATCCTTAGATATGCACTTTAAGAGGCGCTTTGCCAGGGTCCCTTTTAAGCGGACCATAACACAGGGCGGTGGGAAAGCCAAAGGGGATAAAAAAAGGAATAAGGACACGTTTGCATCCTCCATAACCTTCAATCAGTGGTTCAGAAGACATCCTTCAAGTAGCATTCTCTAATTCATCTGGTCCTACAGCACTTGGGAATGAAATTTATGCCGCACACTTTTCGTTTGTGAAAGACATTCAGTACAAGTCCTCTGGTTCAGACACATTTACTGGCTGTTCTAAAAGCTGGGACCTAGTCTTGTTTGCTCTGACTTCTCACTCCCTAATTCACGCTCTCTGCCCCACTTCACACAGAGCTCACTCTGCGGACCGCCGACGGGAGAATGAGACAGAACTTCTGCCACAGGGATGCCATGCATCCCTGCAAGAGAAGACAGCAAGTATCAAGGGACTCGAGGGATACTGAACACAGCTGGACACTCAAGCAGGCAGCACAAGCCCAAAGGCGCCTACCTCACACCGAGACTGAGAACAGAACAGGAAAAACCATAGACGCAGCCCTACACCAGGAGAGACCAGGCAAATGAACGGAGCTCTGTGTCGTAGTGAGCGAGCTAAGTCTGGCTCAACCTGGCCAGTGCTCAGTCCAATTAGCCCCGTAGGAGCTTTTGAAACCTTCAGCCTCAGGAGGAAGCATAGTGGTGATTGGCCAGCGAGGGACCAATCAGCGTGCAGAAATGAGATGGGCGCCAGCCTAGCAAGGAGCTGGGGCTGGGTAGTTTTAAAGTGAACTCTGCGGCTAATGGACTTCTCATTGGGGCGTAATTTTGAGCAAAATTACCTGGACCAGGCTGGGCTGACAAAAGGGGAATACTAGGTCTTTCTAAAGACAGGTTTTCATTTAAATATGCCTGCTGAAGGATGGCAAGAGAGTGTGGAGGGCGAGGGTAGAAGCAGCTGTATAGTGTAGTTTAACACCAATGTTAACATTAGTATTAATAAGCCCTCATAGAATCAACCATTAACTCCTACAGTCTTCACAAATGGCCTCGTGAGGGAGCAGGGCAGAAGTTATTCTCCCTATTTTATGAATGAGCACTACGCATTAACTTAGCACTAGCTCTGGGTTACTTGCTGCAACATTTTTATTACTCAAAAAGATAGGTTCTTTTCTTTTTAAAAATCCATTTATTTTGAAAGAGTAGAGAGGGAGGGAGGGAAGGAGAATCTGTCTGCTGGTTCACTCCCTAAACAACAGCATTGGCTGGAGCTGGGACAGGCTTCCACTAGGCCAGGACAAAGCCAGGAGTTTCTTGCAGGTCTCCCACATAGGTGGCAGGGGCCCAAGCACTTGAGCTACAGTTAACGATAATGTATCATATATTTCAAAACAGCTACAAGAGAGGATTTTTAAAGATTTCATCACAAAGAAATAATAACTGAGGTGGCAGAAATGCTGTTTATTTTCTCTGTAGCATTACTCAATGTGTACTTGTATCCAAACATTATATTGTATCCTATAAATATGTATCATTATGTCAATCAGAAATAAAACAAAACTTTTTAACCTGATAGAAAAGATTAGTTATCATTTTCCTAGCTTCTACATAAAAATATATTCTATATTTAATATATTCTAAAACTTAAATGTGAGAATGAAATGATGGAAATACTAGGCAAAATATAAAATAATATTTTATAATCTTTTCTTAAATGATTTATGGATTTGAAAAGCAGAGTGGTGTGTGTGTGTGTGTGTGTGTGTGTGAGAGAGAGAGAGAGAGAGAGAGAATGAATATTCCATCTGTTGGTTCACTCCCCCAAATGGCCACAAAAGCTGGGAACTGGTCCAGGCAAGATCCAGGAGCCCGTAACTCTATCCAGGTCTCCTACATGGATGGCAGGGTCCTAAGAACTTGAGGCATCTTCCAATGCTTTCCTAGGCATATTAGCAGGGAGCTAGATCAGAAGTGGAGCAGTCAGGACTAGACCTAATGCTCTGATACTCTGATATAGTATGTCTGCATTGAAAGTGCTGACTTAATCTGCTGCACCACGATGCTGGTCATTTTTATAATCTTGCATAAAGAAGAAAAAAGCTTTCTAAACAGAACCAAAAAAAATCTTATTAGCTAAAAAAGTTCTAAATTTCTGTTTAGCAAAACAAAAAACAAGGTTAAAAATATCGAACAACAAACTGGCAAAGGCACTATCAATACAAATGACAAAAGAATTATTTCTTAAATGTACAATGAAAACTTTAAGATCAATAAGAAAAAGAGGAACTACTCTCACAAAAGTTGACAAGAAAATGAACATTAAACAAGAAACCCAAATAGTCAATAAACATGGAAACATGTTTCTTTTCACTAAAAACTAAATGCATATCAAAATAGCTATGGATTACTTTTGTTTAGGACATTGACAAATATTTAATAATAGAGTAATAATAACTTCTGATGGTGAAGAGGTGGGCAAACGGGAACTTTTATTCATTGTTGAAGTGAATAAAAATTGCCATAAACTTTGGGAGAGTTATTTGAAAATATCACTGAATTTGGGGCCACTGCTGTGACGTAGCAGGTAAAGCCACCACCTGCAGTACCAGCATCCCATATAGACACTGGTTCAAGAACCGGCTGCTCCACTTCCGATTCAGCTCTCTGTTATGGCCTGGGAAAGCAGTGGAGGATGGCCCAAGGCCTTGGGCCTCTGCATGGGAGACCCAGAAGAAGCTCCTGGCTCCTGGCACAGCTCTGGCCATTGTGGCCACCTGGGGAGTGAACCAGCGGATGGAACACTGACTCACTCACTCTCTCTCTCTCTCTCCTCTTTCTGTGTGTAACTGTGACTTTCAAGTAAAATAAATGAATCTTAAAAATAAAAGAAAATATCACTTGATTTTAACTGTCTGAACATTTTTACCCCCAGATTCAAATTTTAATCCTCTTTCCTATGAGAATACTTATTCCAGGAGCCAACATTGTGGTGCAGTACACCAGCATCCAGTATGAGCAACACTTCAAGTCCTGGCTGTTCCACTTCCCTGCAGTTCCCTGCTAATGTGCCTGGGAAAGTAGCAGAAAATGGCCAGAGTGCTTGGGCCCCAGTCACCCACATGGGAGACCCAGATGGAGTTCCAGGCTCCTGGAATAAGTACTCTTGGATGGAGTTCAGCCTGGCCCAGCCTCAGCCATTGTGGCTATTTGGGGAATGAACCAGCATATGGAAGGTATTTCTCTCTCTCTCTCTCTCTCTCTCTCTCTCTCTCTCTGCACCCCCTTTGTCTCTCCCTCTGTGGCACTCTGCCTTTCAAATAAATAAATACCTTTTTAAAAAAAGAAAAGCAAATACTCACTAGAAGAAATATACCTTGAAGTTTTCAAATTTGGGATAGTAATAAACCTTAGATTCAAGAAACCCCAAACAGGACAAGCCTAAAGAAATTTCCACAAAACCTCACCATAATCAAACCTTTGAAAATTAACAATAAAAGGAAAAAAAGAAACCTTGGAAACAGCAAGAGAGAAATGACACCTTTCTAATAGGGATACAAATTTTGAATGACAATGGATTACTCACCAGAAACCATGTATTTTCCAAGAATAAAAGAAAAGAGCTGTCAACGCAGAATTCTGCAGACAGAGGAACTGTCCTTCAGGAGTGAAGAGGAAATCAAGCCATTCCTGGGTAAAGGAAAATAAGAAAATTCGTCACCAGTAAACTTATCCTAAAGTAACAGAAATTTCACACAATAGAAAAAAAAGATAATAGGAAATTTTAGAACATGAGGAAGAAAGAACAGTGGAAACAAAAAATGTATGGATAAATACAAGACTTTCCTTCTGATTCTGAGTTTTCTCAATTATGTTTCACAGTTATAGCAAAATTTATAACACTATCTCTTCATCTCTCTCTCCCTCTCTCTGTGTCACTCTGCCTTTCAAATAAATAAAACAAGATTCCAAGATGGCTGAATAGGGAAAAGATATGCCACTTTAAAAAGCATAGGAAGTGCATTCCCAGTGCAGAGTTGGAGAAAAGTTTGCAGTGGAAACTCTACAGAAGGAAGACAAACACTGTGGAGCAGCATGGAAGGTGTGGATGTACAGCAGCAAGCAGGGACACCACCCACAACTTCCACAGCAGAGTACTCGAGGAGGCACCTGCATCTGAGAGCAAGATGAGAAACAACAGAGCTAAGTGACACTATGGACAAAATGGACCTAACTGATACCTACAGAACATGTCTTCCCACAGTTGAAGAACACATAATCTTTCCATTAATACATGGAACTTTCTCTAGGATATACCATATGCTAGTCCATAAAGCATGTCTCAGCAAATTCAGAGAAAATTGAAATCATTCCATGCATCTTTTCTGACCACAAATGGAGATGAACAATTTAAGAATCTCTAGAATTATGCAAACACGTGGAGATGAACAACACCCTCCTGAAAGAACAGTGAGTCATAGAAGAAATCAAAAGAGAAATCAAACAATTCCTGGAAACTGTTGAAAGTGAAAATACAACATATCAAAACTTATGGGATACAGCCAAAGCAGTGTTAAGAGGGAAGTTTAGGGCAATTGGTGCCTACATCAAGAAATTGAAATTGCACCAAATAAATGACCTATCAATGCATCTCAAGGACCTAGAAAAACAACAACAAACCAAACTTAAAATTAGTAGAGGAAAAGAAATAACTAAAATTAGAGGAGAAATAAACAAACTTTAAACAAAAATATGAAAGATTAGTGAAATGAAGATCTGATTTTTTGAAAAAATAAACAAAATTGATAAAGCATTGGCCCAACTAACAAAGAAAGAGGGGGAAAACCTAAATCAATAAAATCAGAACTGAAAAAAGAAGATTTAATCATGGATACCACAGAAATAAAAAGAATCATCAGAAATTGCTACAAACAGATATATGCCAACAAATTAGAAAATCCAGAAAAAATGGATAGATTCCTAGACACATACAATCTACCAAAACCAAGTTGTGAATACATACAAAAGCTAAATAGAACAATAACCAGGACAGACACTGAATCAGTAATAAAGATCCTCCCAAGAAACAAAAGCCTAGGACTGGATAGCTTCACTGCCGAATTCTACCAGACTTTGAAAGAACTAATTCCACTGAAAGACTGTTGGAACTCATAAGAGAGTTTGGTAAAGTTTCAGGTTATAAAATTAACACACAAAAATCAGTAGCCTTTGTATACACAATGTAATGGCTGAGAAAGAACTTGTAAGATCAGTCACAATAGCTACAAAAAACTTGAATACCTTAGACTAAATTTAAGCATGAGGGGCCAAAAAAATATAAATATAAAAAAATACCTCCTACAAATGAAAAATTACCAAACCCACTAAAGAAAGAAATAGAAGAAGACACGCAAAAATGGAAAAAATGCCCATACTACTGAAAGCAATATACAGATTCAATGCAATCCCAATCAAAATACCAATGACATTCTTCTCAGACCTAGAAAAAAATGATGCCAAAATTCGATGGGAGGGGTGCGGGTGGGAGGGAACTTATGGGGGGGGAAAGCCATTGTAATCCATAAACTATACTTTGGAAAATTATATTTACTAAATAAAAGTTTTTTTAAAAAATAAAGAAATAAATAGCAAAAAAAAATTCATATGGAAACACAAAAGACCTCCAAATAGCTAAACCAATCTTAAACAGCAAAAACAAAGCCAGAGGCATCACAATACTATATTTCAAGACATACTACATGGCAGTTATAATCAAAACAGCATGATACTGGCACAAAAATAGACATGTAGACCTAAGGAACAGAATAGAAACTCCAGAAATCAACCCACACATCTACAACCAATTAACCTTTGACAAAGGAGCCAAAATCAGTCCTTGGACAAAGGACAGTTTCTTCAACAATGGTACTGGGAAAATTGGATTTCCATGTGCAGACGTATTAAATAAGACCCTTACTTTACACCTTATACAAAAATCAACTCAAATGAATCAAGGATCTAAATCTACAACCTGATATCATCAAATTCCTGGAGCACATTGGGGAAACTCTGCAATACATGGGCATAAGCAAAGATTTCTTGGAAAAGACCCCTGAAGTGCAGGCAATAAAAGTAAAAATAGACAAATGGGATTACATCAAGCTAAGAAATTTCTACACTGCAAAGGAAACATTTAACAAAGTGAAGAAGCAACCAACATAATGAGAGAAAATATTTGCAAACTATGAAACTGATAAAGGATTGATATTCAGAATCTATAAAGAGCTCAAGAGACTCAAAAATAAAAAACAACCCAGCTAAGTAATGGGCAAAGGACTTGAACAGACATTTTTCAAAAGAGGAAATTGAAATGTCTGACAGACACATGAAAAAATGCTCAGGATCACTAGCCATTAGGATAATTTAAATATAAACCACAATGAGGTTTCACATCACCCCAGTTAGAATGGCTCTCAAACAGAAATTATAAAACAACAAATTCTGGCAAGGATGTAGGGAAAAGGTTCCCTAAACCACTGCTGGTGGGAATGTAAACTAGTACAGCCATTGTGGAAGACAGTTTGGAGATACCTCAGAAAGCTGAAAATAGATCTAGCATATGACCCAGCCATTCTACTTCTGGAAATCTACTGAAACCAAATGAAATCAGCATATGAAAAAGTTATTTGTAACCCCATGTTAATTGCAGGTCAATTCACAATATCTAAGGTATGAAATCAACCCAGATGCCCATCAACTGATGACTGGATAAAGAAAATGTGTTATATATGCACTATGGAATATTGGTCAGCCATAAAGAAAAGAATGAAATTGTGTCTTTTGCAACAAAATGGATACAACTGGAAACCAGTACACTAGTGAAATAAACCAGTCCCAAAAAGACAAATACCATATGTTCTCCCTGATCTGTGGTAACTAATAGGGTACAAAAAATATAATGTATAATTATTTACATTGCAATCTGCACAAAATTATTCTTGTGCATAAACTGTTGAGATGAAATGACTTAAAGTATAAATTAACTTAATTACTATCTTGTAACCACACAGGAACTATTTAATTGTTACACTATCATTGGTTCTATTTCACTTAAAGAAATTACGAGTGAGCAAAAAACTGTACACAGGTGAAATGGTGATTTTCCCATTCAATTATTATTTATAGCCATAGTGTATATTCTCATAAAACTAGTGTCTTTTTGCTTTTTGCTTGTTAAACTTCTTATTTGGTGAAGTATTAAACTTTTTCACTATAATGTAAATTTAAAATATATTATCTCACAAATGAAAAAAGAGAGAAAGATGTAAGGAAGGAGAGAGGGAAGGAGGGAGGAAAAGAATATCATGTTCTCAAATTTGTATATGTAAATCATATTGAGTCTATTAAAATTAATTAAAATTAAAATCTAAAAAGAATGAAATAAAATACAAATATTTTTTTAAAAAGAGGACAGGGCCAGTATTGTGGTGCAGTGGATTAAGCCGCCTACCACTTGCATTGTCTGCATTCCATATTGGAACACCAGTTCAAGTCCCAGCTGCTCAGCTTCCAATCCAGCTCCCTAGTAATGTGCCTGCTAATGTGCCTGGGAAAGTAGTGGAAAATGGCCCAAGTACTCGTACTCCTTTCACCTATATGGGAGACCCAGATGGATTCAGGCCCAACACCAGCCATTGTGGCAATTTGGGGAGTAAACTAGCAAGTAGAAGACCTCTCCCTGTCTGTCTTTCCCTCTCTCTCTGTCATTCTGCCCACCAAATAAACAAAAATATTTTTTTTTTAAAAAATTAGAGCATCAGCTCAATTCATAATAGCTAGGATATGAAATCTACACAGTTGTGCATCAACTGAAGACTGGATAAAGAAATTATGGTATATATACACTATGGAACACTACACACAATAAAAAAAAGAAGAAATCCTGTCATTTGCAACAAAATGGATACAACTAGAAACCATTATATTTAGTGAAATAAACCAGTCCCAAAAAGACAAATACCATATGTTCTCCCTGATCAGTGGTAACTAATAGAATAACTAAAAGATAATCTATAGAAGTGAAACTGACACTTTGAAATGCGATGATTTTGAACAGCCCTTGTCTTGAGTGTGAGGAACAGTGTGTTTTTCTTCATACTATTTGTTGAACTCTTTACTTAGTGTAGGACTAATCTTATGAGTATAAAGTTGACTTAAAATAGATTTTGGTGAAAAATAAGAATGGGAATAAGAGAGGGAGGTGGAAGCAAGGTGGAAGTGCAGGTGGGAGGGAGGGTAGGATGAGAAGAATCACTGTGTTCCTAAATTAGTTTATATGAAATGCATGAAGTTTGTATACCTTAAGTAAAAGGCTTCTAGGTAAAAAAAAAAAAAATAGAGCATTATCTGATGTAGTTCTCAATGTATGAAGAGGAAATTTTTAAAACAATATCAGAAATGAAGGAAGAGGATAACAAGATATAAGTGGAAGAAATGTTTCTACACCTCTCTCAAACTCTCAAACTGGGAAAATGTCAACTCTAGAAGAATGTAATAAACCATATAAAAGATAACAAGCACTAAATTACTATACAAACAGAAACATTCAAAAATACTATAGATACATTGAAATAGAATTCTAAAGAATATTTAAGTAACTGACTAAGAGGCAGAGAAAAAAACAGGTATGAAAAACAGAATAATCAGAAACAAAAAATAAATGGCAAAATATAAATAATCTCATTTAAGTAGAGAATTAAAAGACAGATTGGTAAAGTAGATTTTAAAATCATGTCCTAACAATATGTTGTCAACAAGAAACCCACTTCAAATACAATGACATAAGTAGGATGAAAATTTAAAAATGGAAAAAGATATACCATGCATAAATTAATTTATAAAAAGCTATATTAATATCACATACAGTAATATCAGAGAAAATTAAATTACTAGGAGCAGAGAGGAATGTCAGATAATGTAAAAGTGTTAATCCACCAAAAACATGCAGCAACCTTAAGTATCTATGTACCAACCAACAGAACGGTAAAGTATATAAAGCAAAATAGTGATAGAATGTAAAGGAGAAATAGGCAAATCCTAATTTGTGGTTGAAGATTTCAACATCCGTATCTCCATAATTGATGTTTAAAAACTAAATTTAAAAATCAGCAAGGTTATAGAAAAACTCAACACCACTCACAACAAAAAGAATCTAATCAACATTTATAAGTATAGAACCCCCAATAACAGCAGAATACACATTCCTTTCATTTGTTCATGGAATATTTACCAAAATAGCTCTGCCTTTCAAATAAATAAAATAAGTATTTTTAAAAATTATACAAATTTAGTGTTTTTTTATTAATCATATCCCAATAAACCATTTTTTTAAAAAGGAAACCAAATAGGGTATCACTGCAGATCCTACTAATATCAAAATGATAATATAGGAATATTTTTGTACACATAAATTTGATAAATGAAATGGACCAATTCATTGGAAAGCACAACCACAATACATCCAATATGAAATACATCATTTAAACCATCCCATATTTTTAAAGAAATTCAAATTTTAATTTTAAAATTTCCCCCAAAAGAAGGAATCTCCAGAATTAAACCAAATATTTAAAGAACAAGAATAGAGGTTGGTGCTGTGGTGTAGCAGGTAAAGCTGCCGCCTGCAGTGCTGGCATCCCGCTGCTCCATTTCCTATCCAGCTCTCTGCTA